GGTCTCTGTGTGGTGAGTCTGTGGGTCTCTGTGTGGTGAGTCTGTGGGTCTCTGTGTGGTGAGTCTGTGGGTCTCTGTGTGGTGAGTCTGTGGGTCTCTGTGTGGTGAGTCTATGGGTCTCTGTGTTGTGAATGGTGAGTCTATGGGTCTCTGTGTGGTGAGACTGTGGGTCTCTGTGTCGTGAGTCTGTGGGTCTCTGTGTAGTGAGTCTATGGGTCTCTGTGTGGTGAGTCTGTGGGTCTCTGTGTGGTGAGTCTGTGGGTCTCTGTGTGATGAATGGTGAGTCTGTGGGTCACTGTGTGGTGAGTCTGTGGGTGTCTGTGTGGTGAGTCTGTGGATCTCTGTGTGGTGATTCTATGGGTCTCTGTGTGGTGAGTCTGTGGGTCTCTGTGTGGTGAGTCTGTGGGTCTCTGTGTGATGAGTCTGTGGGTGTCTGTGTGGTGAGTCTGTGGGTCTCTGTGTGGTGATTCTATGGGCCTCTGTGTGGTGAGTCTATGGGTCTCTGTGTGGTGATTCTACGGGTCTCTGTGTGGTGATTCTACGGGTCTCTGTGTGGTGAGTCTATGGGTCTCTGTGTGGTGATTCTACGGGTCTCTGTGTGGTGAGTCTGTGGGTCTCTGTGTGGTGAGTCTATGGGTCTCTGTGTGGTGATTCTACGGGTCTCTGTGTGGTGTAGGTCTATGGGTCTCTGTGTGGTGAGTCTGTGGGTCTCTGTGTGGTGAGTCTGTGGGTCTCTGTGTGGTGAGTCTGTGGGTCTCTGTGTGATGAATGGTGAGTCTGTGGGTCACTGTGTGGTGAGTCTGTGGGTCTCTGTGTGGTGAGTCTATGGGCCTCTGTGTGGTGAGTCTATGGGTCTCTGTGTGGTGATTCTACGGGTCTCTGTGTGGTGATTCTACGGGTCTCTGTGTGGTGAGTCTATGGGTCTCTGTGTGGTGATTCTACGGGTCTCTGTGTGGTGAGTCTGTGGGTCTCTGTGTGGTGAGTCTATGGGTCTCTGTGCGGTGATTCTACGGGTCTCTGTGTGGTGTAGGTCTATGGGTCTCTGTGTGGAGAGTCTCCAGCACGATGATTACCGGCTGTGGTGGACTTGGCTGAGGCTTCAATGTCACCTTGTTGCTTCGTCTGCAACACAAACCACGCTCCACTCATCAGGCTGATGGGAGGGGTTCAGAGTGGGAGGAGTTCAGAGTGGGAGGGGTTCAGAGGAGTGGGAGGGGTTCAGAGGAGTGGGAGGGGTTCAGAGGAGTGGGAGGGGTTCAGAGGAGTGGGAGGGGTTCAGAGGAGTGGGAGGGGTTCAGAGGAGTGGGAGGGGTTCAGAGGAGTGGGAGGGGTTCAGAGGAATGGGAGGGGTTCAGAGTGGGCGTGGCCACACAGAAGACACGTGGTCTACTGAGGGCTTGGGCTGGTGTAGAGAGGTCGAGATCTCGGGATGGGAGGGGTTCAGAGTGGGCGTGGCCACACAGAAGCCACGTGGTCTACTGAGGGCTTGGGCTGGTGTAGAGAGGTCGAGATCTCGGATTGAGAGGGGTTCAGAGTGGGCGTGGCCACACAGGGAGGGGTTCAGAGAAGTGGGAGGGGTTCAGAGGAGTGGGAGGGGTTCAGAGTGGGCGTGGCCACACAGAAGCCACGTGGTCTATTGAGGGCTTGGGCTGGTGTAGAGAGGTCGAGATCTCGGGATGGGAGGGGTTCAGAGTGGGCGTGGCCACACAGAAGCCACGTGGCCTATTGGAGACTTGGGCTAGTGTAGAGAGAGGGAGGGGGGAGTAGAGATCTCGACATGAGATGGGAGGGGTTCAGAGTGAGAGGAGTTCAGAGTGGGAGGAGTTCAGAGTGGGAGGAGTTCAGAGTGGGAGGGGTTCAGAGTGGGAGGAGTTCAGAGTGGGAGGAGTTCAGAGTGGGAGGGGTTCAGAGTGGGAGGAGTTCAGAGAGGGAGGAGTTCAGAGTGGGCGTGATGATGAAAGAGAGAGACGCAGACTCCAAATCTACAGCAGCAGCAGCAGGCATCGTCAGGGTCGTGATCGAACCCACGACCTCCTGTACACCAGGCGAGGTAGTCAACATCTCCTAGCCACCGTGATGATGGTGGTGGAACCCACGACCTCCTGTACACCAGGCGAGGTAGTTTAACATCTCCTAGCCACCGTGATGATGATGGTGGTGGTGGTGGTGGAACCCACGACCACCTGTACACCAGGCGAGGTAGTCAACATCTCCTAGTCACCGTGATAATGATGGTAATGATGGTGGTGGAACCCACGACCTCCTGTACACCAGGCGAGGTAGTCAACATCTCCTAGCCACCGTGATGATGATGATGGTGGTGGTGGAACCCACGACTTCCTGTACACCAGGCGAGGTAGTCAACATCTCCTAGCCACCGTGATGATGATGATGATGGTGGTGGTGGAACCCACGACCTCCTGTACACCAGGCGAGGTAGTCAACATCTCCTAGCCACCGTGATGATGATGATGATGGTGGTGGAACCCACGACCTCCTGTACACCAGGCGAGGTAGTCAACATCTCCTAGCCACCGTGATGATGATGGTGGTGGAACCCACGACCTCCTGTACACCTGGCGAGGTAGTCAACATCTCCTAGCCACCGTGATGATGATGCTGGTTGAACCCACGACCTCCTGTACACCAGGCGAGGTAGTCAACATCTCCTAGCCACCGTGATGGTGGTGGAACCCACGACCTCCTGTACACCAGGCGAGGTAGTCAACATCTCCTAGCCACCGTGATGATGATGGTGGTGGAACCCACGACCTCCTGTGCACCAGGCGAGGTAGTCAACATCTCCTAGCCACCGTGATGATGATGATGGTGGTGGTTGAACCCACGACCTCCTGTACACCAGGCGAGGTAGTCAACATCTCCTAGCCACCGTGATGATGATGGTAGGGGAACCCACGACCTCCTGCACACCAGGCGAGGTAGTCAACATCTCATAGCCACCGTGATGATGATGGTGGTGGTGGAACCCACGACCTCCTGTACACCAGGCGAGGTAGTAAACATCTCCTAGCCACCGTGATGATGATGGTGGTGGAAACCACGACCTCCTGTATACCAGGCGAGGTAGTCAACATCTCCTAGCCACCGTGATGATGATGGTGGTGGAACCCACGACCTCCTGTAGTTGTGTAGTAGTAGTGTAGTAGTAGTAGTGTAGTAGTGTAGTAGTAGTGTAGCAGTAGTAGTGGTGTAGTAGTAGTGTAGTAGTAGTAGTGTAGTTTTAGTGGTGTAGTAGTAGTGGTGTAGTAGTGTAATAGTAGTAGTGGTAGTGGTTTAGTAATAGTAGTGTAGTAGTAGTGGTGTAGCAGTGTAGTAGTAGTAGTGTAGTAGTAGTGTAGTAGTAGTAGTGTAGTGGTGTAGTAGTAGTGTAGTAGTAGTGGTGTAGCAGTGTAGTGGTGTAGTAGTAGTGTAGTAGTAGTGTAGTAGTGTAGTGGTGTAGTAGTGCAGTAGTAGTAGTGTAGTTGTGTAGTAGTAGTGGTGTAGTAGTGTAATAGTAGTAGTGGTGTAGTAGTAGTGTAGTAATAGTGGTGTAGTAGTAGTGTAGTGGTGTAGTAGTAGTGTAGTAGTAGTAGTGGTGTAGTAGTGTAGTGGTGTAGTAGTATAGTAGTAGTAGTAGTGTAGTAGTGTAGTAGTAGTGTAGCAGTAGTAGTGGTGTAGTAGTAGTGTAGTAGTAGTAGTAGTGTAGTAGTAGTAGTGTAGTGGTGTAGTAGTGCAGTAGTAGTGTAGTGGTGTAGTAGTAGTGGTGTAGTAGTGTAATAGTAGTAGTGGTAGTGGTGTAGTAGTAGTGTAGTAGTAGTAGTAGTGTAGTAGTAGTAGTGTAGTGGTGTAGTAGTAGTGTAGTAGTAGTGGTGTAGCAGTGTAGTGGTGTAGTAGTAGTGTAGTAGTAGTGTAGTGGTGTAGTAGTGCAGTAGTAGTGGTGTAGTAGTAGTGGTGTAGTAGTGTAATAGTAGTAGTGGTGTAGTAGTAGTGGTGTAGTAGTAGTGTAGTAGTAGTAGTGGTGTAGCAGTGTAGTAGTAGTGTAGTGGTGTAGTAGTAGTGTAGTAGTAGTGGTGTAGTAGTGTAGTGGTGTAGTAGTGTAGTAGTAGTGGTGTAGTAGAAGTAGTGTAGTAGTAGTGGTGTAGTAGTAGTAGTGGTGTAGTAGTGGTGTAGTAGTAGTAGTGTAGTGGTGTAGTGGTGTAGTAGTAGTGGTGTAGTAGTAGTGGTGTAGTAGTGTAGTGGTGTAGTAGTAGTGGTGTAGCGGTGTAGTAGTTTAGTAGTAGTAGTGTAGTAGTAGTAGTAGTGGTGTAGTAGTAGTAGTGGTGTAGTAGTGTAGTAGTAGTGTATTGGTGTAGTAGTAGTGGTGTAGTAGTAGTGTAGTAGTGTAGTAGCAGTAGTGTAGTGGTGTAGTAGTAGTGGTGTAGTAGTAGTAGTAGTGGTGTAGTAGTGTAGTAGTAGTGTAGTAGTAGTGGTGTAGTAGTGTAGTAGTGTAGTGGTGTAGTAGTAGTGGTGTAGTAGTGTAGTGGTGTAGTAGTAGTGGTGTAGTAGTAGTGTAGTAGTAGTGTAGTGGAGTAGTAGTAGTGGTGTAGTAGTAGTGTAGTAGTAATGGTGTAGTAGTAGTGGTGTAGTAGTAGTGTAGTGGAGTAGTAGTAGTGGTGTAGTGGTAGTAGTTGTGTAGTAGTAGTGGTGTAGTAGTAGTAGTAGTGGTGTAGTAGTAGTAGTGGTGTAGTAGTAGTGGTGTAGTAGTAGTGGTGTAGTAGTGTAGTAGTAGTGGTGTAGTAGTGTAGTAGTAGTGGTGTAGTAGTAGTGTAGTGGTGTAGTAGTAGTGGTGTAGTAGTAGTGTAGTAGTAGTGGTGTAGTGGTAGTAGTAGTGGTGTAGTAGTGTAGTAGTAGTAGTGGTGTAGTAATAGTGTAGTAGTAGTAGTGGTGTAGTGGTGTAGTAGTAGTAGTGTAGTAGTAGTGGTGTAGTAGTAGTGTCGTAGTGGAGTGGTGTAGCAGTGTAGTGGTGTAGTAGTAGTAGTAATGTAGTAGTAGTGGTGTAGCAGTATAGTAGTAGTGGTGTAGTAGTAGTAATGTAGTAGTGTAGTGGTGTAATAGTAGTAGTGTAGGAGTGTAGTGGTGTAGTAGTGTAGTGGTGTAGTAGTAGTGGTGTAGTAGTAGTGTAGTAGTGTAGTGGTGTAGTAGTGTAGTGGTGTAATAGTAGTGGTGTAGTAGTGTAGTAGTAGTGGTGTAGTAGTAGTGTAGGAGTGTAGTGGGGTAGTAGTGTAGTGGTGTAGTAGTAGTGGTGTAGTAGTAGTAATGTAGTAGTGTAGTGGTGTAATAGTAGTAGTGTAGGAGTGTAGTGGTGTAGTAGTGTAGTGGTGTAGTAGTAGTGGTGTAGTAGTAGTGTAGTAGTGTAGTGGTGTAGTAGTGTAGTGGTGTAATAGTAGTGGTGTAGTAGTGTAGTAGTAGTGGTGTAGTAGTAGTGTAGGAGTGTAGTGGGGTAGTAGTGTAGTGGTGTAGTAGTAGTGGTGTAGTAGTAGTAATGTAGTAGTGTAGTGGTGTAATAGTAGTAGTGTAGGATGTAGTGGTGTAGTAGTGTAGTGGTGTAGTAGTAGTGGTGTAGTAGTGGTGTAGTAGTAGTGGTGGTGTAGTAGTGGTGTAGTAGTAGTGGTGTAGTGGTGTAGTAGTAGTGTAGTAGTAGTGGTGGTGTAGTAGTGGTGTAGTAGTAGTAGTGTAGTAGTAGTGTAGTAGTAGTGGTGTAGTAGTAGTGGTGTAGTAGTAGTGGTGTAGTGGTGTAGTAGTGGAGTGGTGTAGTAGTAGTGGTGTAGCGGTGTAGCAGTGTAGTGGTGTAGTAGTGGTGTAGTGGTGTAGTAGTAGTGGTGTAGTGGTGTAGTAGTAGTGGTGTAGCAGTAGTGGTGTAGTAGTAGCGGTGTAGTGGTGTAGCGGTGTAGTGGTGTAGTAAACATCGCTAGCACTGGGAGAGACAAAGACGGCCGGGCGTGGTGCTGCTGGACACCCCCTCGTGTACCAAGGCCATAGGTAGCTGCTGCTACTCGCTACTAACAGCACTTGCCCCTACAGTCTACTAGAGGCTAGACGGGGGATCTTTGTCTTTGTGTGTTCATAGGCAGCTGCTGCTACTCGCTACTAACAGCACTTGCCCCTACAGTCTGCTAGAGGCTAGACGGGGGATCTTTGTCTTTGGTTGAGCACGGGAGGTGGTGGTGCCCGCTGGGTGGTGGAGGGCACTCACAGAGGATCAGTGCCCCGCGCCGGAGCGGAGGGACGGTGGTGCAGCGGAGTGCCGGAGGGGTGAGCTGCCCGCGGAGACGGAGCGCTGATGAGGTCCTGCATGGCGAAACCAGAGACCCACAGACTCACCACACAGAGACCCACAGACTCACCACACAGAGACGCATAGACTCACCACACAGAGACCCACAGACTCACCACACAAAGACACCCACAGACTCACCACACAGAGACCCACAGACTCACCACACAGAGACCCACAGACTCATCACACAGAGACCCACATACTCACCACACAGAGACCCACAGACTCACCACACAGAGACCCACAGACTCACCACACAGAGACCCACAGACTCACCACACAGAGACACCCACAGACTCACCACACAGAGACACCCACAGACTCATCACACAGACATCCACAGACTCACCACACAGACTCACCACACAGAGACACCCACAGACTCACCACACAGACACCCACAGACTCATCACACAGACACCCACAGACTCACCACACAGAGACGCATAGACTCACCACACAGAGACCCATAGACTCACCACACAGAGACCCACAGACTCACCACACAGACACCCACAGACTCACCACACAGAGACGCATAGACTCACCACACAGACACCCACAGACTCACCACACAGAGACGCATAGACTCACCACACAGAGACCCACATACTCACCACACAGAGACCCACAGACTCATCACACAGACACCCACAGACTCACCACACAGAGACGCATAGACTCACCACACAGAGACCCTTAGACTCACCACACAGAGACCCACATACTCACCACACAGAGACCCACAGACTCATCACACAGAGACCCACATACTCACCACACAGAGACCCACAGACTCACCACACAGAGACCCACAGACTCACCACACAGAGACCCACAGACTCACCACACAGAGACACCCACAGACTCATCACACAGACATCCACAGACTCACCACACAGACTCACCACACAGAGACACCCACAGACTCACCACACAGACACCCACAGACTCATCACACAGACACCCACAGACTCACCACACAGAGACGCATAGACTCACCACACAGAGACCCATAGACTCACCACACAGAGACCCATAGACTCACCACACAGAGACCCACAGACTCACCACACAGAGACCCACAGACTCACCACACAGAGACCCACAGACTCACCACACAGAGACCCACAGACTCATCACACAGACACCCACAGACTCACCACACAGAGACCCACAGACTCACCACACAGAGACCCACATACTCACCACACAGAAACCCACAGACTCATCACACAGAGACCCACATACTCACCACACAGAGACCCACAGACTCACCACACAGAGACCCACAGACTCACCACACAGAAACCCACAGACTCACCACACAGAGACCCATAGACTCACCACACAGAGACCCATAGACTCACCACACAGAGACACCCATAGACTCACCACACAGAGACCCACAGACTCATCACACACAGAGACCCACAGACTCACCACACAGAGACCCACAGCCTCACCACACAGAGAGAGAGTGAATGAGTGAGTGAGAGAGTGAGTGAGTGAGAGAGTGAGTGAGCGAGAGTGAGTGAGTGAGTGAGAGATTGAGTGAGAGTGAGCGAGTGAGTGAGTTAGTGAGCGAGAGATGAGTGAGTGAGAGGGTGAGTGAGTGAGAGAGTGAGTGTGAGCGATAGAGTAAGTGAGTGAGCGAGAGAGTGAGAGTGTGAGAGTGAGTGAGTGTGAGAGTGAGTGAGTGTGAGTGAGCGAGTGAGCGAATAAGAGAGTGAGTTAAGAGAGACTAAGAGAGTGAGTTAAGAGAGACTAAGAAAGTGAGTTAAGAGAGACTAAGAGAGTGAGTTAAGAGAGACTAAGAGAGAGATAAGAGAGACTAAGAACGAGCGAGAGACAGCGAGAGTGAGCGAGTGAGTGAGTGAGTGAGCGAGCTAAGAGAGACTAAGAGTGAGTGAGTGAGTGAGCAAGCGAGAGAGAGTGAGTGAGTGAGCTAAGAGAGACTAAGAGTGAGTGAGTGAGTGAGAGAGAGAGTGAGTGAGCGAGCGAGTGAGCGAGTTAAGAGAGACTAAGAGAGATTGAGAGAGTGAGTGAGTGAGCGAGTGAGTGAGCGAGCGAGCTAAGAGAGACTAAGAGTGAGTGAGTGAGAGAGAGAGTGAGTGTGAGCGAGCGAGTGAGTGAGCGAGTGAGCGAGAGTGAGTGAGCGAGTGAGCGAGAGTGAGTGAGCGAGAGTGAGTGAGCGAGTGAGCGAGCGAGCGAGTGAGTGAGTGAGCTAAGAGAGACTAAGAGAGAGTGAGTGAGTGAGAGAGAGTGAGTGTGAGCGAGTGAGTAAGTGAGTGAGTGAGTGAGCTAAGAGAGACTAAGAGTGAGTGAGTGAGAGAGAGTGAGTGTGAGTGAGTGAGCGAGCGAGCGAGTGAGTGAGTGAGCGAGCGAGCGAGCGAGAGAGTGAGCTAAGAGAGACTAAGAGAGACTAAGAGAGTGAGAGACTAAGATAGACTAAGAGAGCGAGCGAGAGAGAGCGAGAGAGAGATAAGAGAGACTAAGAGAGACTAAGAGTGAGCTAAGAGAGACTAAGAGAGATAAGAGAGACTAAGAGAGACTAAGAGTGAGCTAAGAGAGACTAAGAGTGAGCTAAGAGAGACTAAGAGTGAGCTAAGAGTGAGCTAAGAGAGACTAAGAGAGACTAAGAGTGAGCTAAGAGAGAGTGAGAGAGACTAAGAGAGTGAGAGACTAAGAGAGACTAAGAGTGAGCTAAGAGAGACTAAGAGTGAGATAAGAGAGACTAAGAGAGACTAAGAGAGTGAGCTAAGAGAGACTAAGAGAGTGAGCTAAGAGAGACTAAGAGAGACTAAGAGAGTGAGAGACTAAGAGAGACTAAGAGTGAGCTAAGAGAGACTAAGAGTGAGATAAGAGAGACTAAGAGAGACTAAGAGTGAGAGACTAAGAGAGACTAAGAGAGACTAAGAGACTAAGAGAGCGAGAGAGAGAGCAAGAGAGATAAGAGAGACTAAGAGAGTGATAAGAGAGACTAAGAGAGACTAAGAGAGAGCGAGTGAGTGAGCGAGCGAGCTAAGAGTGAGATAAGAGAGACTAAGAGAGACTAAGAGAGTGAGAGACTAAGAGAGACTAAGAGTGAGCTAAGAGAGACTAAGAGAGACTAAGAGAGTGAGAGACTAAGAGAGACTAAGAGTGAGCTAAGAGAGACTAAGAGAGACTAAGAGAGTGAGAGACTAAGAGAGACTAAGAGTGAGCTAAGAGAGACTAAGAGAGACTAAGAGAGACTAAGAGTGAGCTAAGTTAGACTAAGAGAGACTAAGAGAGACTAAGAGAGACTAAGAGCGAGAGCGAGCGAGCGAGCGAGAGAGAGCGAGCGAGAGAGTGATTGAGTCAGCTAGCCCCTCCCCTTCCCCACGCGTCACCGTGCCGCCGTTTCCCCGTCCGCCGCCAGTCCCGAGCCCCGCCCACGGCCCGTCAGGCGAGGCCCTCCGGCGTGGGCCCCTCTTCTTGAGCGTCAGCGTCACCTCGCCCGGCGACGATGACGACGATGACGATGACGATGACAACGCGGGCGGATCGCGTAGCAATCGTACGAGCTCGCTCTGTTGCCAGGCGACCTGGGGAGGGAACCCCGTGGGGAGAAGGGGCGGGATGTGTTGGGGAAGGGGGTCCACACTCTCTGGTTCTATCCGGTAAAGTCACCACGTGGGTGAAAAAAAAAACATAAAACAACAAAAATTCTCACGACGTTTCGGCCACAACACAAGAGGACCAGGCTGTCCAGAGGACAGCGCTGGAGTGAGACACAGCCACGCTCAGACCGCGGGCCTTTAAGCTGCGCGCGAGTAATTAAGGTGCCTTGACAAAGGAATTAGCATAAAAAAATTAGCATTTGATTGGCCGACTTAGCTGTAGAGGCGGTGTACGTGCGGGTGAACATGCTGGTTGGCGAGAGGGGGAATTCACCTATTGGTGGTGTGATAAGTGAAAATATTTTTTTAAAGAGCCGCGAAAGTTTGGGGTATACCACCTGCTTGAAAAAAAACATACCGCAGCATTGAAAATCAGCTCAACGTTTGGTTCGATTTAGAACGCCTTTCGGAAAACGGTTGCTTAACTTGAAACCATCCTCTCGGTTGAAATTGCGTCTGCGTTCGTAGAAGAGGTTTCCGTTTTTGTTCACACCCTCCCACTCCCCTCCCATGTCCGTCAACGGAGACGGTCGCGTCGAGACGCCGAAGGGCTTCTCGACAGAGCAGCCGGCGTGCTTCAATGATGCAAAACGAAACGAAAAGCAAAGCTCCGACGGCACGACGGATTCGGCTCGGCACTCGAGGGACGGCTGTTTTCGGTTTGGGAGCGCCGTCTCGAAACGCGGCGTCCAGACACCAGAGGGCAACGCCCGAAAGGCAAGCACCACCGTCACGGTGATGGGAGGGGGGGGGGGGAGATGCATCAACGGGGCTTGCACTCCTTGGCCAGTGCCGACGTATTGAGAGGAGGTTTTTTTTTCGCATCTTTTTTCTCCCATGCCCCGTCAACGAGTCGCTGAAGCCTCGTGGACGAGGAGCCGCGTTGCCGCATTAGCAGCCGGTCTCGCGGGCGAGAATGCAGACGAACACAAAAAAAACAAAACAGTTTTCGACTTAAAGCTTTCGTGACTGCAAGGATGATTCATCTTCTTTGGTTCTTTCGGTAAAGTCACCAGTCACCGCCACCACGTAGAGAATGAGAATAAAATAATAAATTGAACATAGCTATTTCTGTGACCAGTTACAAGCTAATCGATCAGCTATTTTAATGCTAAATTCTATGCTAATTCCTTTGTCAAGGGGTGCCTCTGCGGATGTGTATACTTTAACTTAGCTATTTCAATGCTAAATTCTACGCTAATTCCTTTGTCAAGGGGTGCCTTTGCGGATGTGTAGGCTTTAACTTTAACATAGCCATTTCTGTGACCAGTCACAAGCTAATCGTTCAGCTATTTCAATGCTAAATTCTATGCTAATTCCTTTGTCAAGGGGTGCCTCTGCGGATGTGTATACTTTAACTTAGCTATTTCAATGCTAAATTCTACGCTAATTCCTTTGTCAAGGGGTGCCTCTGCGGATGTGTATGCTTTAACTTAGCTATTTCAATGCTAAATTCTATGCTAATTCCTTTGTCAAGGGGTGCCTTTGCGGATGTGTAGGCTTTAACTTTAACATAGCCATTTCTGTGACCAGTCACAAGCTAATCGTTCAGCTATTTCAATGCTAAATTCTATGCTAATTCCTTTGTCAAGGGGTGCCTCTGCGGATGTGTATACTTTAACTTAGCTATTTCAATGCTAAATTCTATGCTAATTCCTTTGTCAAGGGGTGCCTTTGCGGATGTGTAGGCTTTAACTTTAACATAGCCATTTCTGTGACCAGTCACAAGCTAATCGTTCAGCTATTTCAATGCTAAATTATATGCTAATTCCTTTGTCAAGGGGTGCCTCTGCGGATGTGTATACTTTAACTTAGCTATTTCAATGCTAAATTCTATGTTAATTCCTTTGTCAAGGGGTGCCTTTGCGGATGTGTATGCTTTAACTTAGCTATTTCAATGCTAAATTCTATGCTAATTCATTTGCCAAGGGGTGCCTTTGCGGATGTGTATACTTTAACTTTAACATAGCTATTTCTGTGACCAGTCACAAGCTAATCACTCAGCTATTTCAATGCGAAATTCTATGCTAATTCCTTTGTCAAGGGGTGCCTCTGCGGATGTGTATGCTTTAACTTAGCTATTTCAATGCTAAATTCTATGCTAATTCCTTTGTCAAGGGGTGCCTCTGCAGATGTGTATGCTTTAACTTTAACATAGCCATTTCTGTGACCAGTCACAAGCTAATCACTCAGCTATTTCAATGCTAAATTCTATGCTAATTCCTTTGTCAAGGGGTGCCTCTGCGGATGAGTATGCTTTAACTTAGCTATTTCAATGCTAAATTCTATGCTAATTCCTTTGTCAAGGGGTACCTTTGCGGATGTGTATGCTTTAACTTTAACATAGCCTTTTCTGTAACCAGTCACAAGCTAATCACTCAGCCATTTCAATGCTAAATTCTTAACATAGCCATTTCTGTGACCAGTCACAAGCTAATCACTCAGCTATTTCAATGCTAAATTCTATGCTAATTCCTTTGTCAAGGGGTGCCTCTGCGGATGTGTATGCTTTAACTTAGCTATTTCAATGCTAAATTCTATGCTAATTCCTTTGTCAAGGGGTGCCTCTGCGGATGAGTATGCTTTAACTTAGCTATTTCAATGCTAAATTCTATGCTAATTCCTTTGTCAAGGGGTACCTTTGCGGATGTGTATGCTTTAACTTTAACATAGCCTTTTCTGTAACCAGTCACAAGCTAATCACTCAGCCATTTCAATGCTAAATTCTTAACAAAGCTATTTCTGTGACCAGTCACAAGCTAATCACTCAGCTATTTCAATGCTAAATTCTATGCTAATTCCTTTGTCAAGGGGTGCCTCTGCGGATGTGTATGCTTTAACTTAGCTATTTCAATGCTAAATTCTATGCTAATTCCTTTGTCAAGGGGTGCCTCTGCGGATGAGTATGCTTTAACTTAGCTATTTCAATGCTAAATTATATGCTAATTCCTTTGTCAAGGGGTACCTTTGCGGATGTGTATGCTTTAACTTTAACATAGCCTTTTCTGTAACCAGTCACAAGCTAATCACTCAGCCATTTCAATGCTAAATTCTTAACATAGCCATTTCTGTGACCAGTCACAAGCTAATCACTCAGCTATTTCAATGCTAAATTCTATGCTAATTCCTTTGTCAAGGGGTGCCTCTGCGGATGTGTATGCTTTAACTTAGCTATTTCAATGCTAAATTCTATGCTAATTCCTTTGTCAAGGGGTGCCTCTGCGGATGTGTATGCTTTAACTTTAACATAGCCATTTCTGTGACCAGTCACAAGCTAATCACTCAGCCATTTCAATGCTAAATTCTATGCTAATTCCTTTGTCAAGGGGTGCCTTTGCAGATGTGTATGCTTTAACTTTAACATAGCCTTTTCTGTGACCAGTCACAAGCTAATCACTCAGCCATTTCAATGCTAAATTCTCCTGTTTGATTTGTACTAGGTGCCTCTGTGGATGTGTATTTTTTTACTTTAACATAGCCATTTCTGTGACCAGTCACAAGCTAATCACTCAACCATTTCAATGCTAAATTCTACGCTAATTCCTTTGTCAAGGCGCTTTGTTTCTTCTCACACAGCTTAAAGGTCGCGATCTCAGCGTGGCTTTCTCGCTCCAGCGCTGTCCTCCAGACAGTCTCGTCCCCTTCAACCTGATGAAGGGCCGCTTGTGTTGTGGCCCGAAACGTCGTGAGAATTTCATCGCGTTATTTTATTTTATCGATTTATTATTTTATTCTCATTCTACGCGGCGGTGACTTTACCGAAAGAACCAAAGAAGAAAAAAACCACTCAGCGTCATTGAGACCCCTTTTGCCAGTGCCAAAATGTAGTGGTAATAATGATAATAATAATGATAATAATGGGGTCTTACCCCTTTTTTTCTGGCAACAAGACTGAAGCCCTTTTTATTATATTTTGGTACTGGCAAAAGGAGGTCTAATGATGATGTAGATGCTCACCCCGAGCCCTCATTACTTTGCCAGCGGCGTCGTCTATGAGCTGTGAGACGCCTTTTGGCGTCACGTGGTCGAGCACCAATTGGGTCGAGGCTCAAAAGAAAGCCGTCCCTTGGTGTGGACCAATCAGCTTCAAGGACAATGCATCACATATATATTATAGCATAGTGTGTGTTGTTTTTTGTTTTGCATTTTGACTGCAGGTATTGTGGTTAATGCAGCGACATGAATCCTTGCAAAAAAAGGTTTCAGTTTTGTTGCCAGAAAAAAGAGGAAAAACCCTGTTATTATTATTATATTTTGGTACTTGCAAAGGAGGTCTAATGATGATGTAGATGCTCACCCCGAGCCCTCATTACGTTGATAGTGGCATCGTCTTTGAGCTGTGTGACGCCTTTTGGCGTCACGTGGTCGAGCACCAATTGGGGTCGAGGCTCAAAAGAAAGCCGTCCCTTGGTGTGGACCAATCAGCTTCAAGGACAATGCATCATCATATTATCATAGTATGTTTTTTGTTTTGCATTTTGACTGCAGGTATTGTGGTTAATGCAGGGACATGAATCCTTGCAAAAAAAAAGTTTCAGTTTCGTTGCCGTAAAAAAAGTGGGGAAAACCCGATGACAAAAACAAACTCCGATGACAAAAACAAACTCCGATGACAAAAACAAACTCCGATGACAAAAACAAACTCCGATGACAAAAACAAACTCCGATGACAAAAACAAACTCCGATGACAAAAACAAACTCCGATGACAAAAACAAACTCCGATGACACGACGTGGCACCGCCCTTGAAACGGATTGTCTCCGCTCTCGAGAGACGGCTGTTCTGTTTGGAGACCTCGTCTCAAAACGCGGCATCAAGAGACCATGAGGTCGGCTCAAAGGCAAGCGCCACCATCGCAAGTAATGAGAGCTCGGGGTCGAGGAGATCCATCGTTCGGCTTCCCCTTGCCAGTACCGACGTATGAGAAGAGGTTTTTTTTCTCTTTACATTACGAGACCTCCTTTTGCCAGTAACGAGATGCAGTGACGGGTTTTTACCCTTTTAACTGGCACGAAAAACTGACGCCTTCATTCAAGGCG